ATCATTCATTTTGCTCTTAATTTCTTCATTAAAAAGCCTTCCAAAAACAACCACAAAGCTCCAAAAATACTTTTAATTAAAACTTCAATCAAAATAACATGAAATTAGACTAAAAATATCAAATTAAAGCCAAGAACACAAGCCCAAAATAAAATGCACATTTTCCTAATTTGGGCAATAAAAACATATACAATTAAACCAAAATGGATTAGAATCTAAGAAAAATATGATGAAATAACATAAACTTCTAAAGGTTAAAACCTATCAATTACAATGGTTCTAACTAACTCCAATAGGATGGTGCACAGTCATGGAATAAAGTATTATTGTTATCTCATGTCATGGTGTTGCCGTTGAAGATAGAGAACAAGAAATAGTAAGGACATGACAGAGACCGATGAATTAGACTTAGAATTAGTGATGATACACCAAATTGATCACATGCTTAGACTGAGACACTTGGCAATGAAAAAGGTCATTACGTACCCCTTCATTGTGCCATCAAAGAAAAGGAAGGTGGATTTTATAAAAGATGATTTGGAGAGAATTTTACAGGAGAAGATTTGTTGATTGGGAGGAGAAAGTGCATAAGAGAGGGGGGCTACAGAGGGGGAGAGAAGGAGGCAGATAGGGGGAGAGAGAGAGTGAAGGACAAAGGGAGAAAGGTGGAGAGGGAAGAGAGATAGAGGTATTTTTCATATTATAAAGAAAATGGTGGGAAAAACTAAAAAAATTAAAAAAAATAAATGTAAGACCCACATAATGACAGAATTGGAAGAGTTAACACTGGGGGCATCGGTGGCAACAAATTTGTAAGTTAAGGAACAAAATTAAGCCTAAGTTAAATTTAAGGTCCTCAATGACTTTTTGCGTGCAGTTAAGGAACATATATCCATATATATTGATAGTTTTATGATTTTTTAACTATATAGAAACCCCTCTTTTGTAAATCCAAGTTGATGTTTCTATAACTTGGGATTATATCAACTTGGATTTTATGGTTATGTTTTATAGATGCACAATTATGTAAGTAGCTCGTTTGAGGGGATTCTTTTGGTATAAAGTAACCCCCCTTTTTTAAAAAAATTCAAATTGATGCCTTTGTAACTTTGAATTTGTTGTATAGGTTTTATGTGTGTGGATTATTGATAGGTGCATGTGTATTAGATAAATGAATACATGTGGCTTTTATATACAGTTCAAATATTTTGTGCTAATACCTAAAATGAAGTGTTTCCTCTTAGTATTAGAATAATAACTTGATTAATTTTCAACTTTAAACATTCACTATAGTGTTTCCTCTTAAAATTTAGAAAAGATGTTAAAAATTTTATCACAATAAAGTTATAAAATTGAAATTTGAACTTACAAATCATTGGAGTTACCTATTAGAATAATAACTTGATTACTTTTTAACTTTAACATTTACTATAGTATTTATTCTTAAAATTTGTAAAAAAGTTGTAAATTTATTTTAATAAAGTTAAAAAATTTGGAATTGAACTTGCAAATTGTGTTCCCAGTTAAAAATTGAAAAAAGAAGATGCAAATTTAGTACAACTTAGTTGCAACAATAGGAGAGAGAGTCACAAATCCTCGATGCTGTTGTACTTAATACTTTTCAATCTTAAAGATCAACAATTGTGTTCCCAATTAAAATTGGGAGGGAAGAGGCGGCAAATTCAATACAACTCAGTTGAAGATTAGGATGTGAAGTTGTAAATTCTTGGAGCTTCAAAGACTTTCTCTATTTGTGCTAAAACATATATAATAGGTTACACAAAAACTCATGTATAATGCATCAAAGGCACTAATTACAACATACACACTTCTCATTAAAGTTCATTTAGATTTCTTCCTTGGCTTCTTCAATTAGTTAGTAGCTGAAACCAAAGCAAAAACTTGATTCCTCTCTTTATTTATCTTGTAATTAACCATCCACCATACCACATCAACCCTAAATTGTTTTAGTTGTTCCTAATAAAAAAATTGACAAGAAAAATTTAAGTTGAACACTGATAGTTGTAAGAAAAAAATTAAAAAAAATTAAAGATCACATATACATGCATTTTAATATGTCTCTATTATAACTCCTCCTTTCCTTTTTCTACCATTTCATTCTGCGTAATACTTAATAATATGCATGCCACGGCTATCTCTACAAATGTGAATAGTTAGAAATAAGGTCAAATGTTTATTTGAAGTGAATACAAAAACAAATAGTTATTTTCACATTTACTTACACAACATCGCCTTGTTTTGGCAATTCTTCAAATATAATTTTCATCTAAAAATTTTCTCTATAAGTTTGTAGGTTAACGGCTTGCAATTTAGATTGATGGAAAAATGGCAAGGAGAGAAAAATATGAGAAAACATTTTTAAAAATAGTAATTTTTTATTATTTTTATGAGTTTTTTTAATTTTTTTTTTCATCCATGATTTTCTCCCTATGAAAATGTAATAGATTTTAACCGTCCTGTAGCCTGAAACATCTAATTCCAAACTCCGGACAGCGTATGGTGATGGCCATTAGCCAGCAACGACTTTCAGTGTTTTTGAACAAGGGAAAAAATCAATTTGCCCCTCCAAAATCAATTTTTTCAATAAATTATTCAAACAGTTAAAATAAGACAAAAATTGATTCTGACGTGTACGCGCGTAAAGTTCGTCAAAAAACATTAAAGAAAATTATAAAAGAAAACGCACAAAAAAATTACAAATAAAACACATAATTTAATAAAAATAAAATTAAACTCTTTTCTCTTCTCTTTTTTTTTTAATAAAATTTAAATTGTATATCCTCAAAAAATTAATTTTTTATATTTAAGAATTAAATTATATAATAATTTATATAGTTAAAATTGATTCTGATTAAATTATTCAAACATTTTCAATTCTATTAAAATTAATTTTAGAAAAACAGTATCCAAACAGATTATATTATAATATAATTAATTATGATTAAAATTTATAGCTTAATTAATTATTTTTGTAATTTATTATACTTAACTAAAATCTAAACGGACATTTTCACTGGTATAATAATAAAAAAATAATTATTACATTAATATATATATATTAATATCAATATTAATGCGATAACGTATCACAAATATATACAATGCATCTTTCTTGCCCATGCGATGATGTATAATAAATATATACAATACATCATTCTTGCCCCGGGGAAACGGAGCAAATGTTTTTCCCTCATCGTCCAGAATACATCGTTGGCTTCGCACCCAAACCCCAAGCACGACACTAGTATAAGCCCAGAGAATCCATGTGCTTCGGCCTCCTCGAATTTGGTGACCGGGAATTGAAACTGTAGACCATCGTCATATACGTCTAAAAGCTGATCACCAGACTCACGCTCCATCACCTCCCTGACATCCATTAAGATTGAAAGAATGCTTCAATGGTCATCTGGTCCCTTTGATATAGTGGCGATATATATCCTTCTTTATTCATATTCCTTCCTCAGCAGTATGAGTTACATCTTCTGCCTGGCCCTCGGATTGCTACAATTGGGATAAGAAAATTATCGCCGCCTGCAACGTGTCATTCTTCCATGCTCCATCCACTCAACTACTGTTGAGTCAGCCTGTGACCCCAAAAGTTAAGAGAGAAAAAATGTAGGATTAATCGATAGAACCAAGCCATGCGGAATGGCCTTCTCGTTTAAACTTTAATTATCCTTGATTATTGCCTGAGCTACCGTTTGAGAAGCTAAGATTCGACCCACTGAAAGAAACCGGTCAATAAAATTCCAAACTCAGTAGGCGCAAACGGGTACTTTGTCGAAATATTGTAGAAGCATCGACTGAGATGAGTTGATTAATCCGAATGTAGGAAAGCAGCTGGAAAGAAGATGAGATATGGACGAGAGATTAGATGAATGTGAACGAGAGAGTTGTTACCCTGGCGGAATAGGAAGATGCAGCTATGTAGTGGCACACACTTTGAAGCAGGGGCGAAATAGAAAATTGGTTGAGAGACATAAAGCATATGTAATAATTAAAAAACTTAAATAAATATATATTATTAATATAATATAAATATTTTAACTTATGTATTTATATTCACCGATATATTTATATTTAATTTTAAATATATATATATAATAAAAATAAATAATACATATTTTCATTTCTTAAGTTTTACTTATTAATTAATTATTATAAATTTTTTTAAATTTTTTTCTTAATATAAATTTTTAGTAAATTGAAAAATATTTGATCTTTCCTATTAATATTGAATATTTTAAATGCATCCTTAGATTTAAAGTGTTGTTTAATATAAAAAAATTTTATTACTTACTCGTTAAATTTATTATTTAATTCTTTCAATTAACATATTCTTCATTCAATATACCTTAAATTGTTGTAATGTTTTATAAATTTTATTAGTAATAATTTTCATAATTTTTTTATCAAATATAAAATGAAAGTAAAATCAAGTGATATCAATATTTTAAAAATAACTGTAATATTATCTTGTTACAAATATATAAATTTTATGACAATGATATCTTTAAATTACTACAATAGTTAGATTATATATATATATATATATATATAATTATTATAAAATTGAAATAAAAATTTTTTTAATATTTCAAAGCTTTTATAATATGTCAATTTAAGGTATAAAAAATATATAACTTTTATATTTTATTAAAAAAATTAATAAGTTAGAAACGACCGTGATCATTGCTGGTCATCCTATCTTCACCCCTACCTTGAAGCTTTTCTCTATGTTCAACTTCGGTGCACATCAAATTTTCGAATGGGATAAGTCAGGAGCCTCGATCCCCACTCCCTGTCGGGCAAGAAAATTAAACATAAAAAGGAAAGTATGATTAAAAATATAATTATTTATTTTCTATTTAATAGTCAATACAAATATACTATAACAGATATATTAGTTGCTCTCACAAAAAAGGACTCGTCATTTTCTAATGTAAAATTGGAAAATAAAGGATATGTGTACACATGAATTATTGTTCCGCAATACACTTATCCAAAAGAAAATTTACTAGTAAAACTTTATTCTATCTGGAGCTTCGTTGGCCAGACAAAAGGGGGAAGGAAAAGAAAAGATCTGGCTGGAGCTTCAAAACATTACTAGGGACGGGACAACATTAAACTTATGTTGATCTTGGTTCATGGACAGACCCGTGTCTATAAAAACTACACGCAGCGTCTTCCTCCAGTGCACCCCATCTCAAAAAAAAAAAAAAAAACGTAGGTGGTGATCACATGCTTCTTCTCCCCCTTTCGGGAAGAAGAGGATTTGGAGGGGGAGGGGGGGACAATCACGATCAGCAGCTGACCAGTCGCTGATGTTTTATTTACACAATCCTAACTTCTGAATAACGGAAGCCATCCCGGGCGCACCAACCAAAACTTTCCACCCCGAAATTTCAAAACCAACTTCACGGGAGTCGCAGAAGTCGCCGAAGATCGTCGGTTGCTCCGGCGTCAACGCCCGCGGCCTGAGCATTGCCACCGAGTTTCGGTCTCAGAGAAAACTTCGGTAGCGGCAAGCTGCTGGGCGGCGGAGACAGATTAAACACCGAACCCGAAAATGTTTCAAATTTTCTCTCCACTGACGCCGCGGTTAAAGCGACAGGAAGGTGCTTGGGAATGTCAACAGGGTCAGGTCCCAACCGATTGCTGGGATGGACGAGGAAAAGGTCCGATATGGATCGAGATACTGATTTTAGATCTCTCTTCCCTTCTTCTCGCTTGGCTTGTTTTGATCTCTTGGGCGTGAGAGACACGTCTCTGATTCTGTTCCTTCTAGTGGGTGCAGGAGGGTAAGAGAAACCTTGACGAAGGCTTCTAGAAATCAGAGGCTGTTGAGCTGCAGAAATTGGCAGAGGAAGCAGAGGTGGCTTTTGGTTTTGTCGATAATGGTGACTGCTGACAGAAAATGACAGGGAATTTGAATGAGGATGTAAAATAACCCTGTAAAAGTCCGAATTCTCGGGCGCTGGGTTGGAGATGAAAGCTCCTCCGCTCTGTTCCTTCGGGTTTTTGATTTTAATTTGCTGATAAGGAACGATTGATTGCTCCGTTCTGGAAGCTGCCATGACAGAGGCCATTGAATAGAAGTTATGAGAGGATTAGGTTAGATCAGAATATATCAAACAGTATAAACGAATGATTGAGAGTAGGATAGTCGATGATCTTCTTCAAAGCAAGCTGATCATCGGGAGAATTTAAATCTGCTGATATCTGGTTTTGAATAAAATCGCTAGCTCAAACTAAAAGAAACGCAACGGCCAACGGATGATCATGCAGAAGAGTCTCCGAATCTTTCCTGGAGACTAAGCAAACATCAATACTTTGGATCACGTAAAACTGAGAGTAAGTCGACTCTATTGATCTAAATTCTATAGTATACCAAGAGAGTAAATGATTTGGAGTTTTCGACCCCAAAGGATCTCAGAAACCCTGCTTTCCAAGGGTTTGTCTTTATTTTCTTTACTGTGCAACTTTCTATGAAGCATGAACCCATGCGCTGGTTCCACCTTTTATGTACAGTGCAAGCTCAACGGCTATATTATAAAAGAAAAGGGAAATTCATGTATTATGCATCACGGTATCTATATCTTAATAAAGAAAATTATTAAATTAATTAATGATGAATCACAATTACTCTAGAATTACCGACGACCACAGCGGTCTAAGTCCAAAACCGGGATGCGGAAGGGCGGCAACCGCCGGAGCGTTACTGGTCGTACGATTGCTTATTTAGAAATAGCCGTTGAGAGGGTTGTGGCCGTTGATGACGAATTCCTCCAAGTGGGTCGAGTGGGACAAAACAGGGAAGAATCAAGGCCATACACGTCTTTTGCATACAGTAGGCCCCGCAATTTCGATATTTCCTAATGGTCCCCTGGCCTCATGTGCGGGGAATAGGTCTCCACTACAAAAGTTTTGTAGTTTTATTATGGAGTCGTTCTTCTGTTCCACTTCCCCTTGCGCGCCCCGCAATTTCACTTTTCGAGTTTTTGTGCTTGCTTGGAAATTTTAGATTTGGTTGATGAGAAAAAAAATGTTTTTAATCAAAGCATGCAAAATTAGTTTTCAACGAGTTACTATCAAATAAGCACTTCCTCTTCCATGGAGATGGCTTACTAATTTTTGAGTAGACTAATTAATAATTCTACCACTGTTTTCTCAAATTCTAAGGAGAGGAAAGTTATGCCTTTAAACATTAATTTAATTAGCTGGTAAAAAACATTAATTTAATTACGATTAAGCTTTAAAATTTAAAATACTGTTAGGGTCTTACACGTCCCTGTTTCCTCTTCCACGTTTGATGTAACATGTTACTCTTGTTTGTTATTATGCGCATATCTATATAGGTTCGCACATTTAAATTTTTTTAAATACTATAACTGGTTTTGTGTATTTATACAGTGAATGAGCATTGAGCAGCACATATGGATTATTTTTTTTTTTAATTTCTGGCTTCGCACATTTGGATTTTTTTTATTTTATTTTGTTACAAGTGTCTAATCTCGTCACTGTATATCTAAAGTTCATTATCCTTCAATTTTGAGACTCGTGCTTTGCAGCTCTCTTCTCAAATCTCCATACTATTGATTCTACAATTCATGCCCTGTATATGCTTTCTTCTCAGCTTTGCTCGTCCACCTTTCTCTGACACGAAGACAAGCCCTATTTTTATTTCCTAGTAGCTTCTTCTAACAGAACTAGCAACATTTTTCTACCACAAGGATGCGTTTTCAAGGACTAATTGAGCTTTGCAAATTACAAGGACCAACTTTTTTAAATAGAAAGAAATACTTGAACAGGGTCATAAACAAATTAAAAATATAAAAATTAAACAAGCAAATATAAATAATTAGGTTGGACCACAAGACTTGTGCGCCGACCAGTGACTAGACATCGTGAAATGGGAGATGGCAGATACCCCGAATTGTCAATTCAGTTCGTTTGGTCGGTTCCTTGTCCAATGGCATCACTGTCGGGCACTTTCAGAAACCTGCTCCCGCCTCACCGTATAGCACGAATTTTTGAATTCCTCTGACTACAAAAAGGCAAAATCCGGCTTTAGCTTTTTTCCTTCTCCCCATTTGCCCACAAAATCAGGCATTTTTGTAAGTAGCATTGTTTTAAGATTCACTCCCCATTCTCACTTTTATAAAAAATTTCAAACATTATCGCCAGATGAATGAAAATTTTGAAATTCATTAAATCTGCATACAAATTTAAAAAGTCAATTCTACTCTTATTCAACCTCGCGTGTGCAACTATGAAAAAATGAACTAGTGTAGAACAAAAAGATAATATATGAATATCTCACAGCAAGCCTTGTAAAAAGAACTAATTTTTTTTCCCTCAATGTGCGGATGTGCCTTATAAAAATAATTGGATGGAGTTTTTTTTTTTTTTTACGCTCGTATGTATATCGATGTTAATTTAAAAAAATATCAAAATAAAGAATTACTTCTGGATAAAAAATTAAACAAAAAATAATCACTTCAAAGCATGTTTGGTTTCTGTTCCCATTTTTTATTTTTAAAAACTACTTTATAATACATCTTTTAGAATTGTTTTTAAATAACAAAATAAAAAATGTTTGGTTATGGTAATTAAAAACAGTTATAGAATTAAAAAATAGGCTGATGATAGTAATGATAGTAGATGATTAATGGTGGTAGTTTATAATAGAAATTGGTCAATCTAACTATATTTTCTGATAATTAAATATAATGTGTTTTGAAAACAAGAAAAATAAAATGAAAATAATTTTTAGATGTTTCGTTTTTTGTTTTTAAAAATAAAAACTGAAAAAAATTTAAAAATAATTAAATGCAAAATACTTATTCAAATGATTTTTTAATATTTTATTTTTTTAAATAAAAAACAATTCAGGAAAACAAAAACCAAATAAGTTTTGAAAGAATGACAAAGAGGTTCCAAAAGGATCAATTAATTCAAATTAGGTTTCAAGTATCAAACTCTATAAATTTGTAACTTAATCTCTTAATTTTGTAATTACATTGTGATAAATTTATAACTTATCTTTTGAATTTTAATAAGGTTGAAGAATAAAAAAATTTATTTTTTCTATTAAAATTTAAAATATAAGTTATAAATTCATCATAATGTAATTATAAAATATAAAAGATTGAGTTGTAAAATTTATAAAGTTTAACACTTGAGTGTTAATTTAAACTAGTTAATCATTTTAAAATATCTTTGTCATTCTCTCATAAGTTTTTAATGTAACATCCTAATTTTTAGATAAAAAAAAATTTATGAAATTTAAGTTTTTTTTAAATGATGATAATAATAGGAATTTATATTATTTAAGATTATTTAAAAATAATAATATGATTAGGCATTTAATTATGAATTAAAAACTTAAATTTAAAATTATATAAGAAATATTTTGTTAAGACATAATTTTAAGATTTAAAAAAAATTATTATTAATGTGTGTGTGAGTTAAAAAGAAAAAAAAAAGAAAAGAAAGTTAAAAAAAAAAGATGAGGGTGTTTAGTCCCACATCGCTTAGATGTAAGAATGAAAAGCACGTCCTCATGTATAAAAAGATGAGGTGCATTGTGGAGGAAGCATGAGGAATTTTTTATTACAATTTGTGAAAATTGCAACTAAGGGCTCAAGATGCAATTTGTAAAAATTGCAAGTAATGGCCCAAAGGTTTGAATAATTAAATTCAAACTTATAGTTTTTTTAATATAATTTTGGGACCACAATCCCATTTTTATATTATTTTTTTCTTCCTCTCACGTTGCTCGGTGTTTTCTCGCAAGGGGGATTATTTTTTTTTCTTCAGGTATGTTCTAACTTTCCTGTTTAGATTAGCATTTAAAAATTTATTTAATTATAAAATTAATTTTATAGTTATTTTCTAAATAATATTAGCTTTCTAGTGATATGATTATTTTGTAGGATAGAGTAAATATTTTGATTAAAATTTTTCTATATGATAGTTAATCTGATGATATGATGGATTATAAATATAGGTTAAAACTCTTAGGGATATAATAAATATTATAGAATATTTTTTTGAGGTTGAAACTCATGTTTAAGAATTTTTGAGTTAAAATCTAGATCTATATGGTTGAATTTATGTGGAATCTGAGATGTAGGGATAAACCTATGATTATTAAATATTTATTTAAATATGAATAGGTATTTTTGAGGTTATAGAATGGTGATTTGAGGCATCAAGATAATTCTAAAATTTTTAATTTATTTTTAGACGAATTTTTAGAATATATAAGGATGAAATTGTAATACGAGAAGTGATTTGAGGATAAAAAAATAATTTATTAGGGTACAAGAATTTTAAAAAAAGAATTTGGGAAGTTAAATGAGGCATAAATCTTAAATTAGTATTAATATGGATTATAGATCTAAGACTTTCTAACTCTTTAAATTAGAGTTATTTATTTTAATATAAAATTAATATATAGTATTGTGAAATAATTATGTAGATTATATTGACAAAGATAGTGGTGAAAAAGGAGTTGTGAAGAGGAACTTGTTATTAAAGACACAAAGTAACCATTATTAATGTGTTGTGATAGGTGTGTTTGTGAATGGTTATGTGTTGTTTTATTGTTTGAAAAAATTATGAATTAATAAAAATAAAAACTGTATATATATACTTGTTTGAAATTATTGTCAAGTGGGTCAAAAATTTATTTTTGTTTATCATGATGAGATATTATTGTTCGGATATATTCCTGTTTGGATATTTAAATGATGCATGACTTGTCAGGGTATTTTAATATATGGTGTTAATGAAAATTTCTGTTCGGTTAATTATTACCACGTGGTAAGCCCTCATTGGACTCAATGAGTGGTGTGTTGCTTGGTCCAACTTACCTTTGGCCGGGTAATTTGGCATCCGAGCATAGTGAAAGGAAGATATAAGGTGCATCATGCAAATTAAATACTTGTTCGGTTTGTTTGAAAGTATTGTTCGGTTAAATATTTTATGTGCCCACTTAACAATTGCATGATTAGTTACATCCGTATGCATCATTACATATTAATTTTTGGTTACTGGGACTTTTAAGTCTCATTCCCCGTGGTTAATATTTTTATAGGAGCGAGTCCGGCCGAGAAAGCACCAGAGGTGTAACTATGGTGTATGAGACACCATCTTTTACGTTGCATCTTATTTTAGATTATACAATGTATCTTGTGCCAACTTAAGACATATCTTCTTTGTGAAGCATGTAAACTCTAATCCTTTTTATTAAAAGTATTTATATGACCAAAAGGATTATGTCTGTCCCTCTTAATTTATGATCTGATTTGAATAACATGCCATGAGGATCCTGTCTGTCCCTCATGGTTCTAATTGCTTTTTGAGATATTTTAAGATCTGTGGTATATTGTCTTGGATGTATCATGGTAAAAATTTTTATACCATGATAAGGGTTCAAAAAAAAAGAATTTATTAAATTAATAATTTATAAAAAATCGTTCTATAAATTTAAGGGT